GTATTTAATAATCTATATTCAAATATCCCAGTGTCTTTTTAATTATTTGGTTGAATTACGTTTCAAAAAATGTCAACACATTTGGTTTACATATCTTTTAACCTTGTTAATTGGTAATAGTTCTCCCACCCTTTTTTTCTTTGCAATTTTTTGTATAGGAAACCAGGTCATTTGTTCTATGAAATTTTCTATGTCCTATATTTGCTTTATTTTTTTCATGTCCTTGCCCAAGTTTCACTTGGGTTGTTGATGTTTCTTTTTTAATTTTGTAGAAGCTCTTTATTAGGGATCTGTAATAAATTTTGTACATATTTATGTTCAGTTTGTCATTTGCCTTTTTATTTTCTTTATGATATTTTAGGCTGCGGTGAAAATGTTTCGTATATGTCCATTTTTCCACTATCTCCTCCCATTTCTGTGCTCCCCAATGTATTTATTTACGTTCTTTTAGTGTTAATACCTTTAAATGGTGTATATACCTCTATTATTTTTCAGATACGAATGATTTATTTTGACTCTCAGCCATGAAAAGATGAGGAATTCAACATACACAGTAATACTTTTTCCCTGTCAACTTTGTAAGTTACATTGTTTTATGTTGTTGGTGTTTGTAACATTTACATATTTTCCTGTGACTCTAATCCCCATGTGTTTTAATCTTAATATATCAGAATTAAATAATTACTATCTTGTCCAATTATCATTTAATCTCTTTTTGTTACCTAGTGTTTTTTTCTTTTTAGTTGTTTCTTTAAAAAAAAAAAAAGAAAACCTCCCAGGAACTATATGCTCTGAGTTTTTCAAGGTGAATGACAGCTTTGTTATGGGTAGAGTTTGAGGTGAGGTCACATTTCTTTTCTTTCATTGCTCCACTATCTTTTAGCATTGAATGTTATTTTGTAGAAATCTGAGGCCGTCCTAATATTTTTCACTTATAATTGATTTGATATTTTTATTGAGTTCCCAGGGGAATTTTTTTATATTTGAATAGGATATATCTAAGTGTTATTCATTCTTTGTCATTTTTTGTGTGAACCTGGTATTATCATTTAATATGTAGATTCAAGGCCTGATTCATTGATGCAATGCTTTCTTAATTGTTTCTTTAAATATGTATAACACCAGGGGTGCCAAAAAATATATACACATGACTTGTGTTCATCTTGTTGTCGGTATATATTGAATAATACAATTTTAATACAGTTTTTTTCCTTTCTCAAAATGTGTATACATTTTTTTGGCACCCACTGTATATACTGATATTTATGTTGACTCTACTTGCCCTCTACATTTTAAATTTTCTTCAATTTTTCAACATTTCCTTCATTTCCATTTTGTTCTGCCCACTTATATCAATCCTGTTCATTATGGCCTTTACAGTGATTCCAGGAGTATTTGTCATTCTTTGTGCTGCTTCCAATTTGGCTTTATTTCTGTGATAGTTTTATCTTAAATTTTTTTTTATTGTTAGATT